GTCTTTCTCTGCCTGACTGACCAACACAGTTAAACAATCTGAATAGACGAGTATAATAGTAGAATATATAACTGTTTATAGAAAACGTAAACAAAAATTTTACACTGGTGTGTTATCCTGAGCCAGACATGTCAATATTCACTTCACATTTGTTGTTCACAGTAGTCATAAGTAGTCCTATTCAAGTATCAATCTTCCTCTGATGTTGGGAAACAACTTGATTAAAACGCTGTAGAAAAAGAAACATATAAACCATAAACTAAATCTCCAAAGTTTACATAGAGCTGTACAATTCATCTGTGCTAAAACAGCAGGGATCATGACGAAATCAAAAGAGTCACAGTGAAGTGGTGCCATCATGTGGTGACATTAGTGCTATAGCAACTTCAAAAGATGAACAGAAGGGAAATCACACACATTTCATTTCATGTTTTATTGAATATCTCTTACTGTTATATAACTACTGTACATGTATATATGTAAATCAGTGCAGGGCTTAACAGAATTAACTTAATGCCAGTGAACACTCAATGTCCTCCTGAGGCTGGTTAGTACCATTTTTAAAGCATAGTGTTGACTGAATTTACAAAACCCAAAACCAGTGAAGTTGGCACGTTATGTAAATCGTAGATAAAAACAGAATACAATGATTTGCAAATCCTTTTCAACTTATATTCAATTGAATACACTGCAAAGACAAGATGTTTAATGTTCAAACTGAGAAACTTTATTTTTTTTTTTTGCAAATAATCATTAACTTAGAATTTAAAGGCAGCAACACATTGCAAAAAAGTTGGCACAGGGGCCTTTTTACCACTGTGTTACATCGCCTTTCCTTTTAACGACACTCAGTAAACGTTTGGGAACTGAGGAGACCAATTTTTGAAGCTTTTCAGGTGGAACTCTTTCCCATTCTTGCTTGATGTACAGCTTAAGTTGTTCAACAGTCCGGGGTCTCCGTTGTCGTATTTTACGCTTCATAATGCGCCACACATTTTCAATGGGAGACAGGTCTGGACTACAGGCAGGCCAGTCTAGTACCCGCACTCTTTTACTATGGAGCCATGCTGTTGTAACATGTGCAGAATGTGGCTTGGCATTGTCTTGCTGAAATAAGCAGGGGCGTCCATGAAAAAGACGTTGCTTGGATGGCAACATATGTTGCTCCAAAACCTGTATGTACCTTTCAGCATTAATGGTGCCTTCACATATGTGTAAGTTGCCCATGCCTTGGGCACTAATACACCCCCATACCATCACAGATGCTGGCTTTTGAACTTTGCGCCTATAACAGTCCGGATGGTTCTTTTCCTCTTTGGTCCGGAGGACACGACATCCACAGTTTCCAAAAACAATTTGAAATGTGGACTCGTCAGACCACAGAACACTTTTCCACTTTGCATCAGTCCATCTTAGATGAGCTCGGGCCCAGCGAAGACGGCGGCGTTTCTGGGTGCTGTTGATGAATGGCTTTCGCTTTGCATTGTAGAGTTTTAACTTGCACTTGCAGATGTAGCGACGAACTGTAGTTACTGACAGTGGTTTTCTGAAGTGTTCCTGAGCCCATGTGGTGATGTCCTTTACACACTGATGTCGGTTTTTGATGCAGTACCGCCTGAGGGATCGAAGGTCACGGGCATTCAATGTTGGTTTTCGGCCTTGTCGCTTACGTGCAGTGATTTCTCCAGATTCTCTGAACCTTTTGACGATATTACGGACCGTAGATGATGAAATCCCTAAATTTCTTGCAATAGCTCGTTGAGGAATGTTGTTCTTAAACTGTTCGACAATCAGCTCACGCATTTGTTCACTAAGTGGTGACCCTCGCCCCATCCTTGTTTGTGAATGACTGAGCATTTCAGGGAAGCTGCTTTTATACCCAATCATGGCACCCACCTGTTCCCAATTAGCCCGTTCACTTGTGGGATGTTCCAAATAAGTGTTTGATGAGCATTCCTCAACTTTCTCAGTCTTTTTTGCCACTTGTGCCAGCTTTTTTGAAACATGTTGCAGGCATCAAATTCCAAATGAGCTAATATTTGCAAAAAATTACAAAGTTTACCTGTTCGAACATTAAGTAACTTGTCTTTGCAGTGTATTCAATTGAATATAGGTTGAAAAGGATTTGCAAATCATTGTATTCTGTTTTTATTTACGGTTTACACAACGTGCCAACTTCACTGGTTTTGGGTTTTGTAACTGTAGTAGTTTTTACATCAGCAGTCTTGTCTAGCAAGGCCAAAAAGACTGAGCATGTAAATTCAGAAAACTTCATTGTGAATTACCATGTTAAAATTGGCTGCACAATAATAATTTGGATGGACACCACTACAGTTAATATTCAGCCCCTCTTTAATGAGACCTGTAACTGACAATATCAGCAAACAGACTAAGAGTCTTCATGCAAGGGGCTCTGTGAAGCTGTTCTTCTGTTCAGTGCTGCTTTGAGCTAAATGCTAAAGTTAGCATGCTTACTTCAGGGTGTTAGCATGCCATAGTGCCATATGCTAATTAGCACTAAACAAAGGGTACAGCTGTGTAAGGTCAAAGCTTACCTCCTGGAGAAAACTTCTCTGGGAGGAAAAAATATAGTTTCCTAGAGATAAATGTACAGCAGTCTCCTATAATAGCACTATATTAGTGCGCAGTTTTAAATATTAACATAAATCTCCCTAAATGTATTCTGCAGCAGCCCACATGTGCTTTTAAAGGGAAATTCTGGTTTATTTCAACCCATCTCCTATCGTCCTAAATTTGTTTCAAGTCACTAGTGACATAGAAATAATAGTTAGCATGTTAGCCGTTAGCCTAGATACAGCCGTAGCGTCAGACCTGTTAAAACGTAATTGAACGGGCATCCTTTCAAGTGCAAAGTTAGTCCACTAAACAAACTTTTTCTCCACAAAGACTGCCTCATATCATTAGGATAAATGTCAGAGAACATATAGAAAACGACATGTAAACGTGTTGTCTTACCTTACCGGTGTGGTGCCATGTTTGTTGTTTACCATTTAGCTAAGGCTGCAGCCGGTCCCATTCCTTGCAACAGAGGTATTCCTCTTCTGTGGGCACTGGGGCACAGCATTCACAGGTAACGTTACACCACCAATCTCCAGAGCTAAAGCCTTCCAGCAGCCATTCCTCCTCTGTCGTCCTCTACCTGTTGTGCCTCTCTCTCTCTCTCCTCCTCTGTTCTTCAATTTCACGAAGCTCTTCGTCAGTGTATTCTGGCTCAAATAAATAAGGGCAGCCATCAAACTCCGCAAAATCAAATTTCTCCTCCACAAAGTCGAAGTCTGGCAAAAAGTCAGCCATTATTCTATGAATATTTCATAAAATAAATGAATGAACTTTTGAACGCGAGATTTCAGGCACAGTATGAGATCGCTGCTTGTTCTCGTGATATTTCGGCCGCACTTTGGGAAGCAGAGGTAAATGGTAAACACACCGTAAGGTAAGACAACAACTCTGAAGACCACCTAAATGTGGAATGTTAGTATATAGGCTTTCCACATTGAGAGGTGATGGCCGCCCTTATTTATTTGAGCCAGAATACACTGACGAAGAGCTTCGTGAAATTGAAGAACGGAGGAGGAGAGAGAGAGAGGCACAACAGGTAACGTTAGAGGACGACAGAGGAGGAATGGCTGCTGGAAGGATTTAGCTCTGGAGATTGGTGGTGTAACGTTACCTGTGAATGCTGTACCCCAATGCCTACCTCTGTTGCAAAGAATGGGACCGGTTGCAGCCTTAGCTAAATGGTAAACAATAAACATGGCACCACACCGGTAAGGTAAGACAACACGTTTACATGTCGTTTTCTATATGTTCTCTGACATTTATCCTAATGATATGAGGCAGTCTTTGTGGAGAAAAAGCTTGTTTAGTGGACTAACTTCGCACTTGAAAGGATGCCCGTTCAATTACGTTTTAACAGGTCTGACGCTACAGCTGTATCTAGGCTAACGGCTAACATGCTAACTATTATTTCTATGTCACTAGTGACTTGAAAGAAATTTAGGACGATAGGAGACGGGTTGAAATAAACCGAAATTTCCCTTTAAGGCCATGATGTTAAATTTACATTTCAGGTGGGACTGAAACTCAGTGTGTACATGATGTGAACAAAGTTATTTTAGAAAGCACTATACATTTTCAATTATTTGATAAAAAAGAATCATCAGTCACATGAGGTATACATATATACTACAATGTCACTACTGTAAATACAGCCACTTACAAACTGATGTGACAGATTTTGATTATACAGGGCAAACAGGGAGATTTGCTTTATGGGAAAAAAAAAGTTGCTGCTGTAGAAATAGTCCCACTGCATAAACTTGAAATGTGTGTGACACAACTCAGACTGTGCAGAAACCTCACAGGTTAATTTCTGTCTGATTGTGATACTGTTTTGGAATATTCGAATAGTGAGGGCTTTGCGAGTTGTACTTAAAATTGCACAAAGTACATAGGCCTAAAAGAACTGGAGATTTCAGATGCAACGCTCATAATCATGCTGCCTTTGGCTCAAAGTACAGGTGTGAATGTCATTATTATAGGCTACTAATTAGTAGTAGTAGTAGTAGTAGTATTATGATAGGTGATAGCAGCAGAACTCAGCTTAAAGGGTGGCATTTGCATCCAAGCCTACTGCTTATACCAGCAGCCAGTTCTACATCAAATGATGGCACTGGATTGATAGTTAAGGGATCGGTTAAGGAGAAGTTATTACAATACATTCTATCCATCACACGAATCATGTAATTGTTGGTGAGACAGTTCACTCAAAACCACCACATGTCAATCTTATGGTGGTGGAAAAGTCATTAGGATTCCTCTAATTTCCAAAAACAAAAATACAACAGTGGTACCAGAGAAAAAGTCAGAGGATCACCAAGTAATGAGATAACTGGGATTAATTATTAGTGAACCATGAATGTCTGTACAAACATACTCCAGTATCCAGTATACAGTAACACATATTTACATAGTTGCTACTACCTGACTGTCATGGTATAACTCTGAATGAGACCTTGAAAGTATTCCTGCGTGTTTTTGTACGATTGAAAAATGATGATGTAACATTTTGGGAGGAAATAAAACAACAGAAAGGAGTAGAGACTGGAGAGTACCGCCAGAGCTTTCAGTGTTTGGATGTACTTGCCATGATAAAGAATGTACACAGTGGCAAAGATGATCCAGGTGAGGATCAGCAGGAGCAGGCAGAAGGTTATTGCTTTGGCCTCATTGTAGTTTTTTGGGAGGTCTTTACCCATGTAGGAGAAAATAAAGCAAAGGGAGCCCAAAAATAAAAGTAAAGCCACAGAACCAGAGGATGCTTTGACATTAATGTCACAACCAAGTATGATTTTGTCATGGGACCACAATGTGTCATGGTAGGGTTTGGGGGGAGCATAAGTATAGCCAATAATAAGTAAAACAGCCTGCATAGCAAATGCCACAGTGATGACCAGCCATTGTCCATGATATTTCATCCACCAATTGAGGATCTTGGGAAACTTGGCGGCTATTTTGAAAATGCAAACAATCTGAAAAGAGCGCACAACAAAACATGCTAGACAAACAGTGTAGAACAACAGAAATGGTAAGAACCTTAAGATACAGAAGGAGGTTGTTGGCTTACCAAAGTGAAAGAACACACTGAGACTACACAGACTGAGGCAGCCTAAAATCAGGAGGCACATTGGTCCCCCAGCAGATCTGACAACAGGTGTGTTGTAGTTGATGGCAAAGAGAACAGACACGGCTAGTGTGAGGCCCACAAATGCCCAGGCCCCGATCATGATCAGTATGGCCCCACTGTCTGTGAATGGGATGTACTCCACCACCCGCAGACTGCATGATGTACTTCCTGCTGCAGACCATTCTGTGTCCTTACAGTCAATGCACTTGTAGGGATTACCTGTTTTACATGAGAGACAGACAGGTNTCTCTCCTCCTCTGTTCTTCAATTTCACGAAGCTCTTCGTCAGTGTATTCTGGCTCAAATAAATAAGGGCAGCCATCAAACTCCGCAAAATCAAATTTCTCCTCCACAAAGTCGAAGTCTGGCAAAAAGTCAGCCATTATTCTATGAATATTTCATAAAATAAATGAATGAACTTTTGAACGCGAGATTTCAGGCACAGTATGAGATCGCTGCTTGTTCTCGTGATATTTCGGCCGCACTTTGGGAAGCAGAGGTAAATGGTAAACACACCGTAAGGTAAGACAACAACTCTGAAGACCACCTAAATGTGGAATGTTAGTATATAGGCTTTCCACATTGAGAGGTGATGGCCGCCCTTATTTATTTGAGCCAGAATACACTGACGAAGAGCTTCGTGAAATTGAAGAACGGAGGAGGAGAGAGAGAGAGGCACAACAGGTAACGTTAGAGGACGACAGAGGAGGAATGGCTGCTGGAAGGATTTAGCTCTGGAGATTGGTGGTGTAACGTTACCTGTGAATGCTGTACCCCAATGCCTACCTCTGTTGCAAAGAATGGGACCGGTTGCAGCCTTAGCTAAATGGTAAACAATAAACATGGCACCACACCGGTAAGGTAAGACAACACGTTTACATGTCGTTTTCTATATGTTCTCTGACATTTATCCTAATGATATGAGGCAGTCTTTGTGGAGAAAAAGCTTGTTTAGTGGACTAACTTCGCACTTGAAAGGATGCCCGTTCAATTACGTTTTAACAGGTCTGACGCTACAGCTGTATCTAGGCTAACGGCTAACATGCTAACTATTATTTCTATGTCACTAGTGACTTGAAAGAAATTTAGGACGATAGGAGACGGGTTGAAATAAACCGAAATTTCCCTTTAAGGCCATGATGTTAAATTTACATTTCAGGTGGGACTGAAACTCAGTGTGTACATGATGTGAACAAAGTTATTTTAGAAAGCACTATACATTTTCAATTATTTGATAAAAAAGAATCATCAGTCACATGAGGTATACATATATACTACAATGTCACTACTGTAAATACAGCCACTTACAAACTGATGTGACAGATTTTGATTATACAGGGCAAACAGGGAGATTTGCTTTATGGGAAAAAAAAAGTTGCTGCTGTAGAAATAGTCCCACTGCATAAACTTGAAATGTGTGTGACACAACTCAGACTGTGCAGAAACCTCACAGGTTAATTTCTGTCTGATTGTGATACTGTTTTGGAATATTCGAATAGTGAGGGCTTTGCGAGTTGTACTTAAAATTGCACAAAGTACATAGGCCTAAAAGAACTGGAGATTTCAGATGCAACGCTCATAATCATGCTGCCTTTGGCTCAAAGTACAGGTGTGAATGTCATTATTATAGGCTACTAATTAGTAGTAGTAGTAGTAGTAGTATTATGATAGGTGATAGCAGCAGAACTCAGCTTAAAGGGTGGCATTTGCATCCAAGCCTACTGCTTATACCAGCAGCCAGTTCTACATCAAATGATGGCACTGGATTGATAGTTAAGGGATCGGTTAAGGAGAAGTTATTACAATACATTCTATCCATCACACGAATCATGTAATTGTTGGTGAGACAGTTCACTCAAAACCACCACATGTCAATCTTATGGTGGTGGAAAAGTCATTAGGATTCCTCTAATTTCCAAAAACAAAAATACAACAGTGGTACCAGAGAAAAAGTCAGAGGATCACCAAGTAATGAGATAACTGGGATTAATTATTAGTGAACCATGAATGTCTGTACAAACATACTCCAGTATCCAGTATACAGTAACACATATTTACATAGTTGCTACTACCTGACTGTCATGGTATAACTCTGAATGAGACCTTGAAAGTATTCCTGCGTGTTTTTGTACGATTGAAAAATGATGATGTAACATTTTGGGAGGAAATAAAACAACAGAAAGGAGTAGAGACTGGAGAGTACCGCCAGAGCATTAAGTGTTTGGATGTACTTGCCATGATAAAGAATGTACACAGTGGCAAAGATGATCCAGGTGAGGATCAGCAGGAGCAGGCAGAAGGTTATTGCTTTGGCCTCATTGTAGTTTTTTGGGAGGTCTTTACCCATGTAGGAGAAAATAAAGCAAAGGGAGCCCAAAAATAAAAGTAAAGCCACAGAACCAGAGGATGCTTTGACATTAATGTCACAACCAAGTATGATTTTGTCATGGGACCACAATGTGTCATGGTAGGGTTTGGGGGGAGCATAAGTATAGCCAATAATAAGTAAAACAGCCTGCATAGCAAATGCCACAGTGATGACCAGCCATTGTCCATGATATTTCATCCACCAATTGAGGATCTTGGGAAACTTGGCGGCTATTTTGAAAATGCAAACAATCTGAAAAGAGCGCACAACAAAACATGCTAGACAAACAGTGTAGAACAACAGAAATGGTAAGAACCTTAAGATACAGAAGGAGGTTGTTGGCTTACCAAAGTGAAAGAACACACTGAGACTACACAGACTGAGGCAGCCTAAAATCAGGAGGCACATTGGTCCCCCAGCAGATCTGACAACAGGTGTGTTGTAGTTGATGGCAAAGAGAACAGACACGGCTAGTGTGAGGCCCACAAATGCCCAGGCCCCGATCATGATCAGTATGGCCCCACTGTCTGTGAATGGGATGTACTCCACCACCCGCAGACTGCATGATGTACTTCCTGCTGCAGACCATTCTGTGTCCTTACAGTCAATGCACTTGTAGGGATTACCTGTTTTACATGAGAGACAGACAGGTTGTCAATAAATGTCCTCTTTTGAAAAATCCTATGTGAGGAAAGAGAGCTGAACAGTTTAGAAAGCAGTGTTAGACGTTAAATCTGTGATACTGTTTGTTCTCGTAAAAGCAGCTTTTACTTCATGTCAGACTTGGTTTAAAGTTTATACTGATATACGTCTAACAGTGGTTAGAGGGAACCAAGGCTATTCAAAGGAGGATGGGATATGCTCTTTGACCCCATGGGGGCAATGGGGTATGACACATGCACAATGTACCAGGAGTTGTGATGTTGGAGGGTTCCAGCAGACGGCGCCAGAAATAAAGGGACAGGGTGCATTGTGTGCTGGCAGGCAGGGGCGGGGCCCGAGCAGGATTACATATCTCATCTGGCCTGAGAATGCCTTGGGATTCTCCAGGGTGAGCTGGAAAGTATTGCTGGGGAGAGGGATGTTTGGGGTGCTTTGCTTGGCCTGCTGCCTCCGCGACCTGGCCTCGGATAAGTGGACAAAAATAGATAGATTGATGGATTTAAACTGCAGTTCTTACATTACCTGTGCTGTTGACATAAGTTCCGTTTGGGCAGATTCCACAGTTGAAGCAGCATCTCTGGAGTCCATTATACTCTCTTGCAAATCCAGTAGGACATTCTGAGGAACACACTGAAGTAGGCACCTGCGCAAGAGAGAATTATTTAGCAGAAAAGTAAATGTAAGTGCAAGAGAATACCACAAGGGGTGGAGGCAAGTGGTGGAGAAGTGCCAGTACTAAGTATACAGCTTTTTAAAATTCTAAGCAGGGTCTGTAATATGGAATCAACCAACACATTCTCACTCCGATCTCATTACATATCACCGCTTGGTCATGGACTTTTCATGTTGACACATGATGTGCAAGGTACGTCTGTTGTTGACGTTCTGGAACGCAGTGTCAACTTCAGCCTGTTACATGCATTGAGTCTTTTCAAAATAAACTTCTGTTTTCATAGGAAATGTGCAGTTGCATACAGTCTCTTTCAAAATAAACATACAACGTCATTATAACATGCAAATTGATGTGTTTTTTTCCCCCAACAACAAACGCAAACACTTACGTTTAGGCAACACACACACATGGTTAAGTTTAAAAAAAATTACAGGGTTTGGCTTAACATTCTTACAGGAAGTGAACATCAGCCTCCCAGATGAAAGTTGGTGATTGTTGGACCCATACACCACTTGGTCTACTCTGACTTTTCACCCCCTTGAAGCGACACTTACCTTTCTGGAAATTTTACACTTTTCTTTGTTTAGGTTAAAATGCTATTAATAAGCTGATGGCACACTAAAATGTAAGTGAATTCCACCAGAAATAAAAACTCATAATTATACCATTCTCATATGGTTCTAAGAAAACCCTGACCAATCATTGCATTCGGACTGAATGTAATCAAACTGGAGAATATTAATTCTTGTTAGTAAAAAAAAACAACTTACTTCTCCCTTTGTGTGCCACTGAATTTTGCTGTCATTTATGAAGAAATGGTAAGATGGATAAAAATTATAAGAGCCGATCTCCTCTGCATCACCACTTTGGTTCCAGGAGACTATAGAATAGGATCCATAGTTGGGGTCACCATTCTCATCAAACTGAATTCTCTGGTTTAAAAGTGTGAAGTTTGACCTCTTCAGCTGTGCTAGAACCTGATGTGGGTACACAAAATTCAGATTATTTTAATGTGTTAACAATGAACACTGAAGGTATTGATTAAATGGGCTGGTATCTCACAGTAAATTAAATTACAGCTCTATCTCAGCCTCACAGAAATCTAATGAGATTAAAAGTCTCAGAAAGACAAAGCCTGACAATGATCTCTTTGACACTGAACCATTACTCTATTAAAGTATCATGCCGGGAGCCATCAACAGAGTGTGAAGATGTGTTGTCTGATTTATATGTTTGACAGATAAAAATCAGCTTGGATTGTATTCAGAAGATTTTAAGATATTGTCTATGTCTGTTTTACACAATTACAAAGCAGACTAGTTTTTTGTGTTATGATTAGTCACTTCCAAATAGGCTTGTCTGTAAGATAAACCTGTCAGATACATGACCTTCCAAAAATCTGATAGTGAGAATAAATTAAATGAATTATCAAGTTATCTGTATGCTTACCATGTGTGGGTACACTGTAATGTTGTTATTACATCTGCCAGCTCCACATTGCAGGACATTGTGTAAGGCGTGAGCGATGGCGTATACAGCAGTATAAACAGGAAAGTTAAAAGATGGATCTGCAGTGATGACATCTTCTGCACTCAGGCTGCTGCAGTTGCAAACCTGATTACAAACCATATTTTGCTCTGTGTTTTCACAATGAGCCTGGCTTCTGGAAGAATGGATAAAATCACTGAAACCAGGAATTGTCATTCTTGGCTCAGCAACCCCAATTACAGTCCCAATATTTTTGATTCCTTTCTTCTTGGGGAGCTCTTTGTTTAAGGACCACGCATCCCCTGCTATCCACACTTTGTTGGAGACATTTAGTTTTATTGCTGACTCAATGAGAGCTTCAGCAGTCCATTCAGCAGCAAAAACAATAATGACACCTATCCTCTGTGCCTCTATCTGTTTGAATATTTGAGAGTGATCTGTATATTGATTGAGGCTTTTAGTGTATGCAAGGCAAATCTCAGTGTCCTTTATCCTCTTTATGAACAATTCCTGTCCATCTTTGCCATAATCACCATCAACGTGAAGGAAAGCAACCCAGAGCCAGTTGAAGTGCTGCAGAATGTTAACAATCGCCTCTATGACGTCTTTATTGGGATGCACTGTTCGTAAGAAAGAGGGAAAATTCTGAATTTTTGAAAAGGTAGAACTTGCAGCTCCATAACTGACCTGTTAAAACAGTAATAGAAAAATTGTCATCATTTTCAGTGACAAAAAATTCTCAAAAGTTAAAAGCCATTTTAATCTTTAAAAATTAATATAAAACAGTTTGTCATTTGTCATATCTGGACAAATACAATCCTGATTCCAAAAAAAGTTGGGACAGAGTGTAAAACATAAATAAAAACAGAATGCAATGATTTGCAAATCCTTTTTGAAAGATACTTAACTGAATACAGTACTCTGTGTACTGTATTCAGTTAAGATATTTAATTTTTAAACTAATAAACTTTAATTTTTGTAAATATACACTCATTCTGAATTGGATGCCTGCAACACATTCCCAAAAAGTTGGTCCAGGAGTGACAAAATAATGGGAAGATTCTGAATGCTTAAAAGACACCTGGAATGTTCCACAGGTAAACAGGTTAAGTGGTAAGATGTGATAGTGTCACTCTGCCCTCTATACCAGGAGAGGAGGTAGAGAAGGTGGAGAACTTTAAATTCCTGGGAGTCTACATCACTGCAGACCTAACCTGGTCTGTGAAAACATCTTTCACCAGGTGAAAGAGTCCCAGCAGATGCTATACCTCCTTTGGAAATTAAAGCAGTTCTGCCTCCAATAGCAGGACTGGTTAACTTCTTCCAGGCCACCATCGAGACTTTCTTATCTACTGCTGATGCAGCAAGCCATTGGGACCAGACTACCATCTCTGAGGGACATTTACACTGGCCAACTACCAGAGGAAACCAGTTGTATCATAATATCACAAGACCCATCCCACCCAGGACGGCGTCTGTTTGACCCTCTGGCAGCAAGAACAGGACAATAAAAAGCAGAACAGAATGGCATTCTTTTTTCAATTGGATTAATATTGGCCTTTTTGCCTTTATTTGTTTAACTTTTATGTTGCACGCAACCTTGGAGCTGCTAAACTGATTTTCATTGTTCTGAGCACAGTGACAATAAAGATCTATTCTGATCTATCGTGATTGGGTATAAAAAGCTCAGATGTTCACAAGCAAAGATGGGCCAAATTCACCACTTTGTGAAAAACTGCATGGCCAAATAGGTCAGCAGCTTAAGAACAACACTTCTCAACAAGGGATTAAGGGACTTCATCATCTACAATCCATAATGTCAAAAGATTCAGAGAATTCAGAAAAATAGGCACACAAAGCCGAGTTCAGACCAAAGATTTGTAACAAGATGAAACAGTTTTAAAACACTGAATAGAACAGTTGCAGCGGTGTGAACTGGCTGGTCTCAGCTGGACTCAAGCCAGCTGATGGCTGACCTGTGGCTCGGTTTGTCAAGTCGCTAGCAGCTGGTTTTAGGATATGGTCACACATGACGGAATGAAGACGAGTAACTATCACCTACTGAGGCGACAATGTGGGCAGTGCTGGTTTTGATGAACAGGGAAAAGCTAGCTTGGTAAGAAACCTTGCACATCTGTGAAGGCACCATGAATGTTGAAATGTACATAGAGGTTTTGGAGCAACATACGCTGCCATCCAGTGTGGAGTCCAAACAGTGTGGATTAGAAGTGAAAGACTGCAGGTACTAGACTGGCCTGTCTGCAGTCCAGACCTCATATTGAAAATGTGTGTTGTGCTATGAAGCATAAAATATAACACAGACCCCAGACTGAGCAACTGAAATAAGGATGGGAAATTGTTTCACTTTAAAAGTTTCAACAATTTGTGTCCTCAGTTCCCAAATGATTATCGAGCATTGTTTAAATAAATAGTGATGTAAGAGTGGTAAAAATGTCCCAACTTTTTTGGAATGTGTTGCAGACATCAAATTCAGAATAAATGTATTTTTGCACAGACAAACAAGTTTATTGATTTGAACCAATGACTGTATATTAAAATGGAAAACGTGTCTCACGCCCCCCTACTGTGGGAAGGGGAACATGAAGCCAAAATATCCCGTATATGGCCATTGCCATCTGTCGATGGTAAGGTAATTAAGAGCCGGAGTCTGCGCAGTAGAGATTTCCATCATATCGAGTTCCCACCATCCAACCAATCGCGAGCATCATCACTGATTGCAAGCACACAGCGTGGCACACTCACACATCTATCAATCATGATGCCAAGCCCCATTTTGGGAAATAGTTTGGGAAATTAGTAGTGCGCATGCACTGACCGTGCGTGCAGCCTGTTGCAGTCGCTCCTGCCTGTTTTCTTATTCAGCAATTCCCCCCGGGGATCAATAAAGTATCTCTGATTCTGATTTTATAGCATCAAATAACTAATTAAAACTTCACTTAGCAGAAAAATAACACCTGAACATATGGCAGCTACCTGAAATGACAGAAACATTTTGAGTAAAAAATGTATTTGATATGTACTTTGAATTTTTACTTTGGCCTATGTCCCATATCCTAACATGGAGGGGGCAGGGTAGATGACCTAAAATGCAGCCACCAGGGGGCGAACAAGATGTTTAGGCTTCACCTTTAGGGATCTGTCATGCTGTTCATCTTCATTATACAGTCTATGGTGTATATAAAATATCTTGTATTAGTACTGTATTTAATTGACTATGCTGAAAATGATTTGCAAATCATTGCATTCTACTTTTAATAACATTTTACACAGAATCCCAACTTTTTGGAATCAGGGTTGCATGTTATAACACAATAGTTGGCAAATTTACCATAGGAATGAGATCCATCATGAAGAGAGGGGCCACAGTCAGTGCCTGAGGACTCGTATAAGTGCCGACCACTGCTATCACTTTAGACAGATTCTTTTGTGGTTCACCCCAAGGTTGGATCAAGCCGTTGTCTGATATGAGGCTGAAAATGCCTGGGAGAGTGTGTGTTTTTGAGCAGTGGTCAAATATCTCATAGCCGAGAGATACATTTGGCAGGAGGCTGGTGGAGTTATTGATTTCCTCTACAGAAAATCTCATCACCTGAAACCTTCGATAGCTTGAATGAATGAAGGGTTTACTGTGGGCAGAAGGACAGTAAAAGAGTGTGAGGAAGCGTTTCACTGTACAATTATTACGGTTTCTGTACAGACATAAAAGAGGTTAGTGGTAGTAAAAGAGGAGAGGATCATAATGCAGACTTGATGTCCTTTAACTTGGATTATTTAATTGGGTTAGGGGCAAAATGTGCCACAAGCAATATCCAGTGACTTGGAAGTTTGAGGCAAAACTCTTGAATGTGTAAAGTGTCAGTTACACCAGGCGTTCTTCATCAATTATTCACTCAGATTTATTATCATACTCACCTGGAGCAGTCGATGGCTTCTGGTCTGTCGTGATAAACAGGGCTGCTGTCATGATGAATATCAAAAAGTCCACCCAACATGTAATCTCCTTCAAGATGAAACTCCGAGGTGCATTGAGCCAAAGCTTGGAAAAATGTTCCCAGGAGGCACAAAGAAACAAGAAAATGTTTCATAGTGATAGCTACCATTTACCAAGCTGATGTGAACCAGAGAGTGCATGAGTTGTCAGTAATATTGCCCTTTAAATGGTTGGAAGATTATACACAAATCAGTATGCAAAAATAATCTAAACTGTCCCTACAGTCTCTGTGATGTACAGTGCAGTCACAAAGTATTCAGAGCCTCCACTTTTTCACCTTCTGTAATGTTGATGTGTAAAATGTGCTCCAGCTGTTGGCCAGTTCTTAATTTGTGGCTCAACTTTTCCAAAATGGCGGCCTAGTCACCAACTTTCGTTTTTTCAACCAAAGTATGTTTCGGAAAACATTTAAGTCAAGAAATGGGCAATGCAGTAACAGAATCTTTATTTTGGATAAGAACTGCCTAGTCTGTTAGTTTGAGCAGTGATTGACATGATTGACAGCTGTGTTAGAAACTCCTTGGCTCTGATTGGTTGTTTTCGTTCACATGCGGTAATACTAGTATTCTTTTCTTTTCAGATTAGCTTTGTTGTGTAATACTGTGTGGATAGCGACAGTTTTAAGCAAAAATATCAAAAATACATTTTTTTATAGAAGTTACCAAGTACAGCTTTAAGGGTCTGAATACTTACGTTAATGTGTTATACACTGATCAGCCAAAACATTAAAACCACTGACAGGTGAAGTGGGTAACATTGATCATTTTGTTACAATGCAATGTTCTGCTGGGAGACATTTGGTTCTGGTGTTCATGTGGATGCCACTTGACGCATTTCACCCACCCAAACACTGCTGTGGGCTAAATAACCCCCAGCCATGGCAGTGGCCCCCCAGCAGAAAAATTAGCCATGCCACACTACAAAAACTGTTTAGAAATGACCTGAGGAACATGACAAAAAGCTCAAGGTGTCGACCTGGTCTCCAAATATCCCACACCCCAATCTGACTGAGCATCTTGGGAAGTGCTGGTACCCCACCTCACAACTGACAGGTCTCAAATGATCCGAGCCAGACACCACAGGACACCCTCCAGAGGTCCTCTGTCCATGCCTTGTCACGTTCTTGGGCCATTCCTGAGCAGTTTCTACAGTGTGGCATGGTGCATTTTACTGCTGGGGGGCCACTGCCATTGGGGAGTACTGTTGCCATGAGGAGCGCTACTTGATCTGTAGAGGTGTTCAGGTGGGTCGAGCACATCAAGTGGCATCCTCGTGAATTTCTGGACCAAAAGTTCCCCAGGGGAACATTGCATTGTAACAAAATGCTCAATGTTACTCACTTCACCAGCTTCACCGTCAGTGGTTTTAATGTTTTGGCTTATCGGCGTATATTTTCAACTCAAGTTTAAAATCTATGATGTGTGACAAGGACAAAAATGAGAAATATATTCATGTTTAACATTCATGGATACACATGGACTGCCCTCTGTCAGAACACTTGAGCTATTTGGCTTTTCGTTCTCTTTACCAGCAGCCCAGATTTGAACAAGTAAGGCTTATCTTGCCCATTAGTGGTTATCAAGCGATTCATAGAGACAGTTACCCTTGTGTAGCTGATGTGATGAGTGCATGCAGAATACAGCAATATGGAACGTTACATATTACGACAGCAAATTATCTGCTAGCCCTTCTGAGAGTGGCCTGTTTTACAGTGCATATCAAGTTCTGTTCATCTGTGTTTATATCACTGTTGCACTTTTTCATAGTTTATTTCTTGTATTTTTTTAACACCAAACTATGGACGTTTGAGTATGGAAGATGGTGGGTGAACTATGAACTGTTCTGAAAGGGAATCAACTTTAGGAAACAGAAATGTATCGACACCTCGGGCCCAGATCAAATTTATTTGTTTGTCCTTCAGCTCTCCGTCATGAATATGTACAAAATATGAGGCCAAGACAACTACGTACTGTTTGAAGGGACACAGCCTCTTTAATAGCATTTGGAGTGAAAAAATTACACTTAAGTTATTAAAATCAAGTTTTTGTTTAACTGTAGCACAAGAAAACAATAACATGCAATCCATGAGAAACATATTTAATTCATCAAATCTAGAACCCAATTAACCAGTTCTGCTTTCATTGATTTCAGCTGAAATGGATTTAAACACTTGGAAACAGTATGGTGGTTGGAAGAAGAAAAGAAAAAAACAAAACAAAAATAAAAATAATCTCAAAAAAATTTCATATCTTAAAATATATATATATACAAATCCTCCAGACAACCTTTTGAAACAAACTTTTTACAGGAAAATGTTTTGATCCCTTACTACAGTGCTAATCAAAGTTTAGTAATGACAGAGAAATCCCCAGCAATCTGATAAAAATGTAGAGGAAAAAAAAAATCAACAGGTTTATAGAAAAGAAAGTGTGATCGCCACCCACTTCATCCATTTGTTATAATAAAAGCTCTCAATCTCTGTTTTCTTATGTTTCCTCTGCAAAAGAAAGAGAACAAAAGTTTGCTTGGAATGACTATATTTACCGTAATGTTTTTCAAAGTAAACACAGATTAATGAAGTACTACAACAGCTAGTCTACATAAATCGAATGGACCCCAGGCTTTGAAATCCAGATGGGTAAATGTTTCAAAGTGAAAAGGATCATCGGGATGAATCTGTAATTGTCTCTTATCTCACATTAGACCTTCTTATGAATTTGACTTGAATACTGGTTGTGAACTTTGAAGACAAAGTGTATATTTTCAATCTGAAATGAATTCATTGACTTGCCATTTCAAGCAAAATACCCCCTAAAATAACGCTGAATAAATATGGATTATAGGGGTGCTCAATGACACAGTATCCCATCTGTTAAATTCTACAAAGGTGCTAAAGTAGAACGGATTTAAAAAGGCAGACTACAGGCTACAGGAGACTAAATGGGCTGGGATTAGTGACACTTGCTTTGAATTATGCATTCACTGATGTGGTGGGTGGCTCAAGATTCAAGTCAAGATAATCATCCATACTGACTCTTGCTTCGCTGGCTAGTGCAAACAAAGTAATACACAGAATTACATCAGTTGCCAATCCAAGATAAACATCAATTGTGCAGAGTGTAATCACTTCAAGGGAAGAATTATGATTTCTGCCTGTCATGAATGCATATTCAAGTGAAATGTGACTAATTTATCCAACGTGTCTGTGTGTAGTACAGAGGACAATTGGCCGAGACACTTGTAAGCCAGAGCAGCTGCACACTTTTATCACAAAAGATGAAATTATTCAACTTGGAGACTGTTGCGTTTCCTTCAGATTTCATCTTACACATCTTATCATGTTATTTTTTAACTAACACTACTAACTTTCAATATATAACTTGTTACAAATAAGTAGGTACCAATATATTAATCAAATGTTGGCAGATTTATTTCACTCGGGAGAAGATGTACTGGAATCACCATCATTGAAGGAAAAAAAAAACAAAACACAAATTTCACTGCAACTTCTTTTCAGTGTGGTTCCTTCTTGGTGACTTTATACTTACCCCATGGGGTTAAAAAGGCAAAAGGCAGCTCTGAGTCTGACCTACTACTGAACAAATGCAGACCAATCCTAAAAAATGAGGATCTGGTCCTCACGAAAAAAAGAAAAAAAAATCCTACCCCAATAGACAAAGGCAATATTCCCAGACTACTTTGATCCATGCTGCTCATAGCCTCATCCAACACTGAACCACGGATCAAAAGTTGTATTTTTATTTATATGTTTTCATGTTACTGTCCCGCTTACAAAAAAAAAAAAAAGAAAAAAAAGAAAAAAGAATCTCTGACCCTTGCCATTCCCCACTAGCTGTGACTGATAAATTTAAAATGAGAAGGAGGGGGAGGTTGAGTAGGAGATTTTAACTAGCAAAAGTTTTCCCTGTGTCTTCCTTGCCTTTGTATGTCCTCTTCCCATGTGTGAAGGGTAGGTATCTGTACTTGACCATATGCTGGAGGAGGCAAAAAGAGAAGAATTAGCCTCGGGTATTTCTACGATTTTCCCACGAGATAGAGAAGCACAATGATAACTCGTCTTATCAGGTGGATTAAAAAATAGAAATTAGCGCTTTAAATGAGGTAATCAGATATTCAAATAAACAAATGCACTGCATATGAAGACTGGACATTACAGAAACACCTGTACAATATGTTCAGTTGAAGAAAATACCCCTTCAAAACACATAACAATTGTGAATGTTAAAGGGTCTGTATGTAACTTTCAGAAAATAGTTTTGATTAATGCCATTGGTGGCCTTTAAGTGAACTGTACGAGACTGACTGGAATCATGTTACTAGAATGCTGGAAAATAAATGACAACCATATTTAGAATAACGTAATAGCGTTTTTTGGACCATTGGCTCCATGTTTCTAAGTAGCTTGCCATTTGCAAATTACTTCATCAGCTGACATTATGAAGCAACCAACTGCAGATCCATGCGCCTAAATGCGAGTAAAATATACCAGTGGCTGCTAGATTTGCTTCACTCACCTGACAAAAAAGTTAATTTCCCACCCCAACCCTGCATGCAACGCAACTTTGCACTTAGCTAGCTAATCTTAGCTTAGGTTGCAGTTGGCTTATCAAGTGCCGCCAACCACCACCACCACCACCACAATGCTATTGGCTAGAACGCGCTTTGTACCGTTACTCCATTTATTGTTGGCTAAATCACCACCATTTGTCATAATACACAAGTTAGTATTGTGGATCACATTAGCTGGTGCAGTAATTTAACAAGCTAGCCAACTGACAAATCCACTAACATAGTGCTGCTAGCGATAGTTAGCGAGCAAGCAAGCTAAGGCTATCCGGCTAGCTGTTAGCTGCTAGCTGCTACACTGCATGGATCTCGCGTTGGCTGCTTTGTAATGAAAGCTGATAAAGTCATTTGCAAACCAGCCGCAGGAGTCTGGATACAGAGCTGTTACAGGCAACTGATAAGTCGGGGAACATCTCACTTTTCAAGTTACGTTGCAATCTGTTCATCTGTTGTCAATAAGAAGCGATTATTACATGTAAGAAGTTACGCACAAAATTTTTAAGATGT